ACACCCTGTATCCTCAAGAGTTCACAAGATACACGGTCATATGAAGTTTGATTCTTGAAATAGGTCGAATAATCGGCCCCTTTTCCACACCAACTTATAGTATTTGAAATAAACATTTGAAGAAATGCTGGAAAACGTCGAAGTTAGAAACTAATTTTCAGGTTTTATCGACTCGATCCTTAGCGTCAACCATATATGTAGCTGGGAGTAAACAACTCCTCAAAATTTTGATAGGGAAAAGGGGTCGTATCATACCTCTTTTTGAAAATCTCATCGAGTTCTCAATGACATATAGTTTCGTCTCATTATTCTCATTAACAACTAATAATGTGTTTCGCCCTCAGAGGCTCGCATGACTTGTGAGTACGTGAATGACAATCACGAAGTACCCTAGCCGGATACTCATTAATCTTCAACTTGTCTTTGGTGGTATCCTGTTCACTCTGCAGCTTTCAATCTTTTGTATCGGCCTCTCTTGGTCAATTCTTCTATTCTTCTTTTTTCCTTCCCCCTAAAGCCTAAACTCACCATAGTTCGGGGAGGACAAGCCGCGGCTGCACGGCAGATTGATCATTTTGGGAACATCTTTGCTCTTATCACTCAGATGGGACAGTTTTGTGGACATCTGAGTGCAAGGATGGGGAAATTTGTGAACATATGCTCATGCGGTCGCAGATTGATAACGAGGCTCTGGCAACCTAATCCAAAAGTTGTGGGAACCCGTGACATCTCAGAGTAAACAGCCTCAGCCTTGTGGGCACCACACAGGGTAGGACCTACCCTTCGCCCCATTACTCGTAGGAAAAGGAAAACTTTGGCCCTCTTCATGGACGAGACCAGGGCTCGGAAGAGTAGTCTTCAGGAACCTAAATGAAGAGAGTCTTTCAAACGAACCTTTGGTACTGTGACCAGCAGTGCTCACAGTTACTGTGGTTGCATTTGAAGTGACCCTTATTTAAGAACTATGAGTCGTATATGGTGAAATCAATAACGGCATATTCGAGGTACAATCGTACAATGGGCCAACAGGCCTAAGTGTCATCGGAGACTTCGGTCAGACGAGCCTTGAAAGGAAGTGGAGTGTTTAGTGGGTACGCACCTACATGTAGGGATTCCCACACTACTATGGAGGGAATGGTCCTTCGTGGTGTCCATGAACGATTTTGACCACCTCCGAAAAAAAATGCTTGTCAATATCTTGGAATACGAGTGTAACAGATAATAGCGGAATTATTTATTTCTTCGGCTTATAGCCATCTGATTTTCTCTCAATAATGAATTCTCTATCAGGCAGAGCTGTCCTTGCTTGAAATTTGACATTTCATGGGAGATGACATTCATCTTGAAATAATAACACAATGAAGTAACTGTGTTTTTCTACAGTTATAACACAAAATTGCTCTTTTTTCATTGTGTTCGATAAATCAGTGAGGTATTTTGTATGTCATCAGTTTTTTTTTTGTATCTGACATCACAATATCTGTTACAGCGGTAGAAATAGTATAGTGTCGTATAACTCGCATGGAATGCTACTTTCCCACTCATATGCTTTGCAGCATTCCTGTACTGCGTATGCTGCAAACTTCATTCCTGTGGAAAATGACTATCATTCCGTGCTCGTTAAACATCAGTATAGATGTAAGATGTAATGACATTATGTGATTGTCTTCATTCAACATGTCAGTATTACACAGGATGATTAATATAATAATAACAATAAGTATCATGTTAAATCTCCATTTTTTTGCGAGGGTTCGAATCCCTCTTCTGAAATATTTCCCTTCGCCTGTGAAACACCCTATACAAGTCTGTCCGATGAAAATATTTCATTGACATGTTATGTTAGGTATAACAATGGTCAGAGTAAGTGGGCTGCGCGATATTGGATTTCAGGTATCGGTTATTAATAAGTTGAAATTTATCAATAAGTTCGATAAATATTGATAAAATGTTTGGTCTGTTTCGTAAATCTATACATTAATAAAAATAGCTAAATTGATAAATACTGATATTTCGTTCATAAAATATAATGTTGCGCCTACCATAATAATATTTCATTTTTTTTATGTTCTGGTTCCAACGGAAAGAGATATCTGTAATTTTCAGAGAACATCGTGAGAACCGAAGGAAATAAGGTAGGAATTGGTGTTCTTCTTAAATTTCTGGAGGTTATATGCCTCGGGGAACACCTCCTATGGCAATGTGTTCCAGAGCCTTGCTGTTCGTCGGATGAACGAGTCTTTGGAAAGAGATGTTTTGCAGGTCTCCAAAGTGACCACAAAGGGGTGCGAATCCTCAACTCGACGGGTTAATCTCGCGGGGACTGCCAAGGGAGGAACAATTGTTGATATTTCAGAAGAACATCGTTCATGAAAATATCTATAAAATAGAGCGAGATCACCAACTTTTCTACGGTGTCAAAGAGAAGTGAGTGATTAGTGAGCGATAGGCATTACCCACGAGACGAATTGCCCTCTTTTGGACAGAATCCAACAATTTCAGGGAATGTTTGGGTACTGCACTCCAAATATGGGAACAGTATTCCAGGACAGGTCGAATCTGTGCCTTATAGATCATAAGCAGCTGACTGCAAGTGAAATGGCTCCTGGCCCGAAACAAAAATCCAAGTTTTTGTGATGCACTTTTAGCAATTGATCTCACGTGATTTTCCCAAGAAAGGTTATTGCTGATAGTAATCCCAAGCATGGTATGGTTACTCCTGATAAGCTTATATTTGGGCACAGTGAGATCGGCTTTTCTAGAGAATAGGCATGGTTTTGTTTGCATTGAAATCAACCAAGTTATTGGATCCCCATTCGAGAATTGTTGCCAAGTCCATATTTATGTTGTCAACATTTTTTCCTCGTTCGTTTCTGATTTGCCTGGCTGGTATTGAAGACCTGGAAGAGAAGGCGGTATGGAGGGTACTATCATCCGCGAAGCTGGGGAGACAAGCCATAAGATGGAAGTTTGGTGAGCCGTCTGTGGTGCCAGACTCGATCGAATGCCTTGGAGATATCAAGTGCCACGGTGCTGCCATAAAATATATGTGAGACGAAAGCGAGCAGGTCACCAGTTGACCTCTGATGACGGAAGCCATATTTCCTATCGTTGATGATACCAGAATGTTCCAGGTATTTCATGAGCTCGATGTTGACAGCTTTCTCCATGATCTTTGAAATAATAGATAGCAGTGCGATCGGTCTGTATAGTTACTAGGTAGGGTCTTTTTGCCTTTTTTAGGAACTGGTTGTACTCTTGCAATTTTCCAGTTGGACGGGAATATCCCCAATTTGTAAGAGTAGTTGAACAACTTGCAGTGAACAGATGTTAGTTCGGGAGCACATTTCTTGAGAATAATCGGTGGGATTCCGTCGGAGCCATCAGCTTTGTTAGTGTTGAGACCCAATAAAATCTTCCTTATAGTACGATGGCGAAAGGTGATCTCGGGCATATGATTATCAATTGGCTTTATATTTGGAGGTTGTTTTCCCGATGAATCCAGAGTGGAATGAAGCAAATAAATGTGCAAAAACGTTGGCTTCATGGCTGGTGTTCCATCTTCCTTGGTTAGAGGAGGAAACGAGCTGGAAGTGAAGATCCTTCCTACAGCTTTGGCGAAGGACCAAAATAAACGGGATCCATAAGGACATTCAACAAGTTTTGATCTAATTTTGGCATTATGAGTATCCTTTGATGATCGAATTGACTCATTGCATATGCCTCTAGCCTCGACATATTCTGCTCTAGTCTCAGGGCCTGGATTCTTCTGCCGTCGATGGAATGCTGCCTGTTTTTGGCAGCATTTGTTGCAACAGTTGTTCTCAAAATTTCGAAAATAGACTATTGTTTTCGATTTTATCATTGCATTGGTAAATGCGGTATAATGATGAATAATTAAACATGAAACTTCAATTATGTATGGCATATCCAGAACCTATTTTTTGCATGTTTTGGTTCCCACGAAAAGGGATATCCTGTAATGTTCAGAGAACATCGTGAGAACCAAAGGAAATAAGGTGGGAATTGGTATTCTCCTCCTGGAGGTTATATGCCTCGGGAAACACCTCCCTAGGCAATGTCTTTCAGAGCGTCGCTGTTCGTTGGATGAACGAGTTTTTGGAAAGAGATGTTCTGCAGGTCTCCAAAGTGACCACGAAAGAGTGAGAAGCCTCAACTCGACGGGATAATCTCGCAGGGACTGCCAAGGGAGGAACAATTGTTAATATTTCAGAAGAGCACCGTGTATGAGAATATCTATAAAATAGGACCAGATCGCCTACTTTTCTACGGTGTTACAGAGAAGTGAGTGAGTTTGTGAGCGAAGCATCCCCAACGAGACAAATTCCTTTTTTTTTGGAGAGAATCCAACAGTTTCAGGGTATGTTTGGGTGCTGCACTCCAAATTTTGGAACAGTATTCCAGGACAGGTCGGATCTGTACCTCATTGGCACAAGCAGCTGACTGGAAGTGAAATAGCTCCTGGCCCGAAACAGAAAACCAAGTTTTTGGGATTATTATTATTATTATTATTGGTATTATTATCATCATTTCTTTCATTATCATCATCATTATTATCATTATTCGGGGGTCCTCTGAAGATAGTTCCTTTTTATATTTTCGAAACGCTTCACAATAATTGATGAAATAGGTGCAACAGGGAAGTTTCGAACATCATACATATTTCTCTGATGTGTCAAAATTTCATAATGCTCATCCCTCATCGAAATATTTCAATTATCTGAACGTGTTTGATTATTTTACGAGAGAAAAAATTAATCGATGTTTTGTAAGTCTTATTACTCTTATTCTCGCTCTCATTCTAACTCGCCCTGTATAATCAAATTAGTAAACGTAGAATATGATAAATTATAAATCGTATTGCTATGTCATCATCATATTCAAAAAACTACTATTTACATTACCTAACTACCTATCAACTTAATAGCCTAATCATCATTTCATAGCCGATGAATTAATAATTTGTTTCTTGTTTTCAGATAATGACACCATGAACAGGATCGGAATAAGAAAAAGGGCATACATTTTGATAGTAATTTGTATCGCATTATGGACATTCCTCATCTTATCATATTCAGAATCATTTTCGGAAAAAGTCGAATACATTTTTCTAGATCAAGAAGAAAATACAAGTTATACAAAGCATGTTGAGGAATGGCTGCGAATGAAGAAAAACTTCGTAAGTAGATTACTTTCATTATTTTTTGAACTTCAGGGAATGAATGGGTACTTTCGATCTCCCATTTTTTCTCAAACTCTTACAAGCATTTTACCGACCGGCACTGATTCTCGACCATTCTTGCATTCGAGACAAAATAATAAGAGAAATATTCCTTTATACCATTGAAATTACTGGAAAATGTTTTTTTCTACAAGAGTGCGTGATTCACCCTATACCCGCACGCAATTTAGTTTGGGAAGTGTCATTTTCCCGCAACAGTGCGGGAAAACAAAGATATGATAAAATCACTAGTAATATGTGGTTGGTGATGGAATATAAAAGTTTAAGTTTGTTTGGTGCAGTATTAAGTATGTATGTTCAGAATCATCCATCAAATTGCACTATTTATTGTAAAAATTAAGAAATATTGAGAAATAAAAATTGATTATTATAAAAATCCCCCTATAGATTTGGATTGATCTGACGGGAAACGTCAATTTGTCATGCCAATCAAACCTCAAATAAGTTTGAAATTGTCGAAGTGACAGACACAGCGTTACTGTCATTTTCGATTCAGTGGAAATGCCACAATGTGATCAAAAACTTCTAGCTATAGGGATTTGATACAGATGCGTTATCACCAACGAACTCTTAAGAAAGGTATGAGAAGCTATACACGCGTTTTATTGAATGGTGCAACAATGAAGAAATGAAAAAACCGAATGAAGAATAGGTATTTTTGGCTCATTTCATAGAAGTGTCTGGAACCTAGAGACCAAACTCCTAATGGGCCTGCTGGCTTCCGCAATGAACCAACATAATGCGTCAAACTGTAAGTTCACAATAGCTATTACTAATAATTAATAGATAGAGAATATATATCTCTTGTTAGTTGTTCCTATTTGCTTGAATAATTAATTGAACGATTCAATCAATTTCCTACGCTTGTAGAAAAAATATTGTTCCTGACTCATGCGGAAAGAATCACTTTCCACACTTGTTAGGAAAATTACTATTTCGGCCACTTCACTTTAATTCAAGATAGCTGGCAGAGTGGGAAGAAAGTATATAGAGCTTTTCGCAAAGAAAATCATTTGATAATCGTCTGTCATTGACAGATGCTGTGTTATCGTCCATGTTTGAAAAGTGCTAGTGCCAAATAGTGAATAACTTTAATTTGGAATACATTAGGCATATGAGTTTTTTTATATGAATTAGTAGACATAGTTTTTTTCACTATTTCAAGAAAGAACATACATGACTATTATTTTTTTCCTGAATATTCGGTGGTCACGAACCAGTTTCATAAAAATTGGCTGTTTTTTTCTCCACCAAAGTGGTCGAAAACCAAAACATATCTTAAATAATTGTTTTTGTCTACTTATATACTTTCTTTGAAAAATGCTCAGATTTTTTTCTAAATACTTGTTAAAAATTTGTTTGCGACCATCAAATAAATGAGCTTTTCGCCCAAAAAATCATATGATAATCGTCAGTCATTGACAGATGCTGTGTTATCGCCTATTTTTGAAAAGTGCTAGTTGATACCAGGCCAAATAGTGAATAATTTTCATTTTGAAGGCATTAGGCATATAAGTTTTCTTTTATATGAATTAGTAGACATAGTTTTTCCAGTATTTCGAGAAAAAACATACATAAATATCAGGTATTTTGTTCTTGAATATTCGGTGGTCGCGAACCATTTTTTAAGAAATTGGCTGTTTTTTTTTCGCAACCAAAGTGGGCCAGAACCAAAACATCAGTTTGTGACTTGAAATGAGGCCTATATAATATTTTTTCTGCAATTCGAAAACCAATTTGACCATATTCAGTTCTCGAACACTGTGGTCCAGAACCAATTTGAACTAAATTTTGGTTCTCGACCATATCATATATATTATTACCTCTCTTATATCAAAGTATGAAATTTATTTTTCATTAAAATATTCACCATAATTCAACCATGAAGTACCTATTGCAGCTGCACAAATTAGTATATTCGATTTATATTCATTTTTATGTTTGAAAATAATTATTTTTCAGTTCTTCAGTTTGTTAGGAGTCTGCCTGAGTATAAAATGATTTCCGCATTCTAATCTTCACATGTCAAGTGTTTTTCGATCATTTCATTACCTTGTGAATCAAACTGATCGATGGTTGTCCAGAACCAATAGGAAAATGGTCGAGAATTCTGCGGGATGGTCAAGAACCAGTGAAATTGTAGATTTTCTGCTTTTATCAACATGTCAAGAGTTGAATGCTGAAAAAAGCTTGAAAATGTTCACAAATTATTTTCAAGTTATCAAGAAATCGGTATACACTAACTCCAATACAATGTTACAAGGTTTCACACGAATTTACATTTCGGTTAACTGGTCGCGAACCAGTGCTTTTACCCTGAGTTTGACGGTACAAAGCACATAACTTTTCGATGTCAATCACAATATAATAATCACCGAATAGTCAGCACAGTTGACATTTTGATATCAGTGATTTTCGGTTTTTTCAAAATATTTCAGGAACGGCTGACATTAATTTGTCTAGATTGCAAAACGTCATATTGATGAGGTTCAAATTACGCAACTTTTGTCTAATTTAATCAACTTTCTATCTCTTACACTTTATGAGATAGCAATACTGACCCTATTAAGTCGTCCGGATCCTGTATACACATAACAGTAATTATCCAACCATTCATACTGCACATTCTGATGTATTCAACTAAAACAAATTGCGCCCTCGAAATCAGTATTTATTATTGGCCGCCTGATTTTTTTCTTAGAACCGGAAGAGGTTCCCTACGCGTTGAGCAGCGTGCCTCTACGTCGCTGAATTTTCAACATGAAACATGTAAAGTGAAATGACTGGCCAGATGTATATTTTTTACTCGTTATTTTTCAGCAAAATTTATCCAAGTTGGGTAGGATATTATTTCTAGATGAGAAGGAACCACTGATTTCAACTGACAAGAAATACGAAATTCTTGTATGGAAATTTGGTCACACAATAGAAGCTAGACATCTACGAAATTTCTCAAACAAAAGGTGAGTTCGCACAAAAACAAATACGTTACTCGCAACTTCAGGCTGCTCAGCAACGAGAGCAGTAGGTACGAACTTACCTTCAGAATCATGCAAGGATTGAGTGGTATTTTATGTACAGTGCATCTCATTTTGGTTGAGACAGCTAGGTTTATCGGTTGTTGTTGAAGATAGAACCTTGCGAAGGAGCATTTGACAATACGTCATTTGAACAAGTTCATTGCATTTGAATCGATATGCCATGCCGCGGATAGACATGGGGGGGTCTATCAAACTTTGACCCAGTGGATTAGGGCCATGCTATATCGCAGCGAGTAGCGAGAGCACAACTATGTGGGAGGCTAGTTGCTGCAAAGGTCAAGGAGGTATTTAATCACCACTGCCATGGTGCATGGTTTCTAAAAAACACCACCGGACTACGGTAGAGAAGGTGATGAAGAATCCCACTATGGTTCAAGTGGGAGGATATCTTGCCTGCCTCGGCGGGTGAGCAGCGTTTTCTGCTCGAGCACTGACACTGCAGAGCCAGTAGTCTGTTTTATCAAACGGCCTCACCATTGGTATAAAATGGTAGCAGGAGAACATACCGTTACATAACAGAGATGGCTCTAGCGCGCTGATTTGGCGTATCCAAATCCTCCATTTTTCCCTGGGGTGTTGTCAGTATAAGTCGAAAGATAAGTGACCGGCAGTCATCCCTGTGGGAGTCTTGTGAGAGGGGGTGGAAATTGGTCCCACGCCGGCAATATTTATTATTATTATTTATTTATTTGTTGATGCTATGGTGCATGATAGTAGACAGGCTCCTCAAGCATATGCAGATGATTTGGTAATAATGGCCCAAGACCAATTGGCAAACCGGCTAGGAAACCAAATTATAGAAGCCCTGAATAGAGTGGAACAGTGTTGTTCCACCAGTGGATTGAGTGTCAATCCAGAAATAGCGTACTTGGGCACATTCACTAAGAAACGCAAAATAGGAACACTTCATGAGATATTTCTCTCGGCAAAAAGTCTCCAAGACAAAAGCTTAGCAAAGTACCTTGAAGTTACAATAGACTCCAAGCTCACTTGGAATGAGCACATTGCAAAACCGCACCAAGGAGGCTATTTGCCGCTTCTGGGCATGCAGACGAGCCTTTGGAAAAACATGGGGTCTCACACGTAAGACTCTCCACTGGATATACACGGCAGTAATTCGCGCAGCACTGACGTACGGGTCCATTGTATGGTGGATCAGTACCAATAAGAGTAAGACCAAGAGAGAACTGGATGCAGTCCAGAGACTGGCCTGCCTGGGAATAATTGATCTGAAAACGATACCTACCAGGGCTCTTGAAGCTCTGTTAGGTTTGCCGCCTCTATACCTGTTCACACAACACGAAGCCATGCGAACTGCTCACCGACTCAACGGTGCAAACCAGTGGGTCGAAACAGAAATAGATCATAGACACACCGTCACATGGAATAAAGCAAAGAAAAGCTGTTCCATCCTCATGATGAGACGGAACAGTACCTCGCCGATTCTGAACTTCAACAAAGCCCCGAATATTGTCATCCCTACGAGGAAAGGATGGAATGACACAACACCTGGAATGCCTCCTCTCAATGAGTCAATCTGGTACACGGATGGCTCAAAATTTCGGGGTAGGTCAGGTGCAGGGGTATACAATGAAGGAACAGGAAAAGAAATCTCGGTTCACAACAACCTCAAATTAGCTAAAGAACATGCATATTGTATACCTTCCTCTACTGCCAAGTTCAGAATCAGGGCAATTTTACCTAATTGTTCCCTCGACCTATTGGTCAGGATACCCTAATATCCCAATCTTCGTCTTCTGAATTACTTCAAATTTTTTCCCATATTAGTAAATTTGATGTAAGTAAGACGTTATATTTACTCTCGCCAAATAAGTCGTTGACCTATTCCTAGGTCGAAATGACGTATATTATACCTCACACGTTTGTTGGATGGGGGATGATTTGGAACCATCAAAGTGTCTTCTACCTACAAATATCGTATGTACATACATTCAAATCTGAAAAACCCTGTATAGTAGTAGAATCATGAAAATGTATTCTTCATTACTATATTTACGGAAAACATTGTTTTTCATAATCTGCATGATTTTCAGCGTAGATCCTTTCCGCCATTGTCCCGTGAAAAACTGTGATATAACGTACAAAGATTCATCTGTGGATACTGCCGATATAGTAATTTTCCACTTGCACCGCATGAAGGACGAGAAAGACCTTCCGCAACAGAAACGTCGGCCTGATCAAATTTGGGCTTTCCTCACCGACGAAAGCCCGTACCATACTTTCCTGTCTCCCAAAGGAAAACTGAAGACGTTCGACGGAGTGTTCAACTGGTCGATGTCTTACAGGTAGGCAAATTGATAATCGGCTAGTTCACTGACTTTTATTGACACGGTTATATATTAGCTTGGTATTGGTAAATTGGTATAAGTGTGGACGGTGACAGATGCGCTGCGACCTGTTTAGATCTACACTCACCGGCAAAAAAAAACGGCCACCAAAAAAATGTAGCAGAGAATTACCGCCTGTTAAAAACAGCAAGTGTACCTCGCAAACTCCTTGAGAGAATCATCACGAGGATTGAGAAAATTTTACTTGGAAAGATCAAAGGCGATCGAACTGAGTGTCGTATTAGATTTACTAAGAGTTCTGATTCTTTTATCCTCGGTGGCCACTTGGAGGCGCTGCATGTAAAAAACTTAAAGACCTGATGCGCGAATTCAACTTTGAGATATACAGTGAGCCAAACACGGATAGCAGATAATGCATAGAAGTTCATTATTATTTTACATAATTGGACATAACAAAGGAGATAAACGGATAAACAACATTTCTGTAGGAGTCAATAGAAAGACTTGAGAAGTTTCTAAAAAAAGGCGAGTAGACTGAATTCGTTAAATCAAACGGGAGGGCTGACAAAATATTACCGTATGTGTTGACATTCTCACTCTATTAATTCCTATCGTAGCAGGAATTCTAATGGAAAATGAATACATTTTAAAATGGAAACTAACGTGAGTGACTACAGTACTTATAGATCACAATTTACCAGAGAATTATTATTCCTTTTATCACTGCATTTTTTGTGCATTGTGCAATGTGATGGCATGCTTGAATGAATGAAGCCCAAGAAACACGATTCGTATGCCAAAATTATTGTAAAAAACTATTTCAATCCTTTGTTGTACACGAGTAAACAAATAAGAAAAGTGAGTTTGCTTTACCTCCAGGGTCGGCCATCTATCAAATGTACACGCGACCTGTTCTATATCACCCCTGAGTTTGTTCTCATTATCATTTCAATTTCAGGTCAGATTCAGATATTCCTGTACCATACGGAAGGACCATCCTGAGGAAGAAACATGAAAAAATCGAACTGAACCTGAAAAAAAGGAAAGACGTTCTGGTCGCCATCTTGGGATCGAATTGTGGCGGGAAGAATAATCGGTGGGATTATGTAAGAGAACTGCAGAAACATATGAAAGTCGATGTATACGGCAAATGTGGACCAATTAAGACGTGAGTACTTTCACAAATATTGTTTGGTGTAGCATGTATATTCTGCTTAAAAAATGTTTGGGGATTTTGGATATGAATGCATGCAGCTCGAAATAGTTGATTCTGCATCTTCTTCAATTCCCAATTGGATTAGTCTTAAACTCGTCTGTATAATATTTTTAGGTAGTTTTCCTCAATCACCTCATTTGTTTCTTATTTCTGTGCGGAATTAAGGCGTATTCATGCAACATTTTCATTATAATTACAATTTCACCACATCATAATTACATTTTCACTAGCCGTGCAAGGTACCAGTTCATGCAACTTATTTCAAACGAGGTGGTCTCTGATAAGCAATCAACCTATCTTGATCACTAATTTATTAACCTGTCTAAAAATCACCTCATTCAATATAATTCTAATTCCCATCAAAAAGTATTTCTTGCCGAGTGAGACAGATCGGCAAGTAGGTCCTTGAATAAGTCGTATTAAAATGCCACATAATCATTCACAATATATCATAATCAACTTACCTTTTATATCTGAAGTCCCAGCTAGCAGCTTGTGACAAATCCACATGTATATGCATCGCCCTAGTAAAATATCTGAGCTAGCATACTCTTCAATCAAAGTCTATTACTCTACTTTGTGACACTCTTTAGATATTATTTGAAACAATGAAGCACGTTAACTTTACTCTCAATCTCAAATAAACCTGAAAATGGGATAGGAAGGAGGTCCATAAATCAAACTATTCGGATACCTAACTGAATTAACTATGTTCATATCATCAGATGGATAATGAATTAATGGAAGTGGATGAAAATAGGATCTGGACATAAAAATGACTTGATATTCACTGCATCCAAAAACTAGTTGAGAAATAGTGATGATTGAATATTAACCGTAAAGAACCATGATGATTGAGTTATCAACCCGATTAGTTGATAACTCTTCAACTTATAATGAAAGTGAAGATTTCAAATAACAGATTACTTCACCAGCGTTCCGGCCATCCCGTGACACAACTGAACAGAACAAAACTAAAAAACGAACTTCCACAAAAATTGTGCCAAACATTAATTTTGTATAGCTAGTGTTTCACACGTGACATGAGGGAAGCAAAATACAGAGCCAAATTGTATCTGACCAATCATGTGATGGTATATTCCATCGTTTGGGTGGTATTTAGTAATCAGTCAACTATTCCATTCAAGGGGAACCCTAAATAACATTCAACATAATGTTTCAAACCCAAATATTTTTCAATACAGAGAAGAATTGTTTGAGCAACAGCAACAGCACTTGATATTAAAATTTTGAGTTTGGCAACAGCGCTCCCTTGAAAAAATAAACGATTTTAACCGATCTCTTGTTGTACGCATCTTGGACAGTTACGCCCCTTGTACGCAAGCCGGACGTACGCAAGTAGGAAGACACCGAAGGTAGCCATGGGTAATGATTATTGTTTATCACCTCTCTTGGCTAAACTGTTCATGAATCGGTTTGAAACGGAAAGAAAAATTCGAGTATTTCCCTAGGGTTTGGATTAGATATGTCGACGATATTTTTCCTATTTTTTACACGATAATCACAGATATAGATAACTTTATTTCACAATTGAATAATTGATTGCCCTCTATCAAATTCACTTTTGAATGCGGTCAATTACCATTTTTAGATGTTCTTGTGATCAAAAATGGCAAAAGCAATTTTGAATTTGATGTTTTTAGAAAAGAAACTAATACACTTATAGATACATATCTAAAGACTCCAATCACTGTTTTCAATACTAAATGGCAAGTTTGAATTTCTTAGTGAATAGACTAGTTTCATTTCCTCTGAGCAAACAGAGATTCGATGTTGAAAGGAGTGTTGTTTATAGAGTTGCTGGCGTCAATGGTTATGATATCAAAATAATAGATAAATACCAATACGTAGACATAAATTCAAAATTCTAGTTAACACTTAGGACTACGACTTCTTAAGCGGATAGAAACAACCCGAGAACAATCCCACTCCCGTTCAATCCCAAGTACACAAGAGGACTTGATAAGGCTTTCAAAGACTTGGGTTTTGAAAGCGTTTATCACTCCTGGGTCAAAGTTAGGCAATTTATTAGGTAATCCGAAAGATCATGTGGACACACTTGAGAAGTCAGGAATATACAAAATTAGTTGTAATGATTGTGATAAAACATATATAGGCTAAACCAGGCGTCCCATAAAAACAAGGTTCAAAGAACATCAAAGAGAGAACCCAATAATGAGGTTCGAATTCCAGCCACCCAGCAGCCCAATGAAGTTTTATACTCACAAACTCATATTCATTTCCACAATATAATAATATAAGAATGTTAATGGCAAATTCGGCAGTTACTATTTCATCAATTTTAATTTACAACCTTTTTTCAGATGCCCAGGTCACTTCAAAGAAGACTGTCCAGACATAGAAAACTACCTATTTTACCTCTCATTTGAGAACTCCAATTGTGATGACTACATCACTGAGAAACTGTGGTGGAACGCATACCACAAAAACACCATTCCCATCGTAATGGGAGCCACTCCTGATAACTACAGAAAACTGCTGCCGCCTGACTCCTACATAAACATAGAAGAGTTCGCCAGTCCGGCAGTGTTGGCCCAATTCATTCATAGATTGAATGAGACGAGAGAATACAGAAACTACTACAAATGGAAGAAATATTTCCGAGTGGTTAATGAGCACGGTTACTTCAAGAGCGAATCCTTCCACTTCTGTCGAATATGTCAGGCGCTTAATTATAATGATAAACAGCCAAAGATTTATGGAAGATTAGATGATTATTGGAGTGTTCAAAGGGACTGCCATCCTTCTTGGAACGCATGGTAGAGAATACTTCACCTCCATTAAAGTATTAGTACCTTTTGGAATTTTCATTGCTTTTGAAGCTAATCGCTGATGAGAGTTATCACCCCATCATTCTTGAATTTGCTGATTGAATAGCTAATAGCTCTGACGAGAATCTAGCAAAACATAACAAAGCGAAACATCTGAAAATTTCGTTGATTTCAAGTTATAAACAAAACAGAATGTTTCACACTACTTTATAGGTACCTAATATTCATTATACAGATGTAGCAACAAATTGCCAGTATACGGGGTGAGTCATTGAAATGGAAAAGTGAGATAAAGGCTTCGCTGTTTGAAATGAATAAAAATGTTTGTGATGGTCTAGGGTCATGAGGAGCATATTTCTCAATTACTTTGCGTATACAAGGTGACTCAAATATGCGTGGCGTATCAAAGTTATACTTTTTCTTATGGATATTTCATTGCATTTTCAGATTCTCCGTTGTAAGCTGATTTCATCAATGCATATATCACACTTGGGGTCTAGCGAGAATGATTACAGAGATATAGGGTTTTCAAAATCGAGATTTTTCGACTTTAAATTTTTTTTGTGTCGAAACTATTGATTATTGGTCAGAACGACTCACATGTCCCCATCTTAACTTTTGATTCACTATCTTACTGATATTTAATTTAGACGAATACAGGGTAGTGAGAAAATTCAAAATTATGAACCACCCGCTGTATTCGTTCAAATTAAATATCAGTAAATCAAAAGTTAAGATAGGGACATGTTAGCCTTTTTGACCGATAATGAATAGTTTCGAGACAAAAAAAAATGATTATGAACTCACGAGGGCTATCACCTGTCAAGCGTTGTTGGTCGAATTTCGCAAAACCCTGTAATCTTTGGTAGTTTTGATATCCCGGATTATTATTCGCCGTTGTATGGAAAATTTGTAAACTTCGACAGGTAGTCAGGAGACAACAACTATAAAACATTCTGTACTCGTTTCATTGTCACCTATTAATTGGCTCCACAGCTTTTATAATCAATTAATATAGTGCTGAATATTGGTGAATAATTTTGGTAAAATTTGAACTAGTGTGTGACGAAACACTCTGTCAGAAACAGGGCGGTAAATATGGAAATTCATTGAAAAGATGTAAATTGTCTTAATTCAAGGCCAATACTAAAAATATCGTATAAGTGATATATATTTTTTGAAAGCGCAAAGCATCAATGTTTCAAATATGAAAAAATATAGAGGGTGTTCCATTTGAAAAACATAACTTTGGGTGATATGTAAATAATAACAGCTTATTTTGAAAATCTGACTACGCCACTGGATTCCACGTAAAAATCTGTATAAGTGACAGTTTCAACTTTTCCTATAAGTTGAAAGATAGCTGAGATACAGGGGGTGTCCCAAATTGCAACATTTTCAATTTCGCCTCGCGAGATATCCCGTCTTCTTATCTTAGTCCTGAAAGTATGGTGATTATGGTTCTTCTCAGCTCATCAATATCGATCGGTACAGTTTCGAAAATCAAATCTTTCATACATTTTACTTGTTTTTTTGGGATTTTCTCTCCTCGTTTCTATAAAATAAAAGTATTCGTATTATTTCAATATATTTGTAGAGGGACAAATATATTGAAATAATACGAATACTTTTATTTTATAGAAACGAGGAGAGAAAATCCCAAAAAACCAAGTAAAATGAATGTACCACCTCCTCGATTAACCTACAGACAGTATTTAAATCTTTCATAGTTCCCAATAAATAATAATCCAGTGGAGATAGATCAGGCACGATCAGGTGACCGCACTGGCCAACGTATGTCTCCGTTATTGGAAATTACCTTGTCAGGGAACATAATCTGACAGACACTCGGCAACCCTTCTTGCGTTATGTGGATACGCTTAAGAAATCAACGGTTCTGTTCGCATATTCAATTGAACTGTCAAAATTCAGTTTGTTAAACAAAACTGTTGGTGTTTTTTCCAAAGCACTCTCGAGGCACTCCTTCCTGTTAACTTGGACTAATAAGTGAGTGGGTCCCTTAAATGGCATACCGACTTAGAGCATAGATATAAACCTTGTGTCGCGGGCCAACAGTCTATAAGCCCCTCGAACCAGTTATGTCTCTCCACTACAATTTTATATCCATATCGAATCTGGCTCTGGCAACAGCCAATCGTGGCATCTGAATTCTAGTTGCACAGAAGACTAATAAGCGCGCTAGTGTTACTAGTATAATCTCTGCAAGTGTTCGGCCAGATACTAGCGTCTACAAATAGGAGGGCGGGACCGCGGATACTGGTCAACCCAACAAATATCCTTGATTGGCGAAGAATCAAATGTACAGATAATTTTTGGGCCGATCCTGAAAAAAAACTTTATTGAAATAGTGTATCCCTATCGGCCTCAACTGCTGGTCCGAATAGACTACCTTAGCATGAAGTCACGAGTGGGCGGAGCTAAGTAAACCTTTCCAAACAATCCTAAGATATATTGATTTTTATTGTTCCATAAGAGTTTATTTTAATCAGTATCAAATAGTTTTGAACGATAAATAAGTGATTGTCCTAATATTTCCAAAGTGTTGAATTCATTTGCGATCAATATATAGGTACATAATATATCAAGATTGAAATCAGTTACTCATCTTCAGGTGTATTTCCAAAAATACTTTAGAAATAATTCGCAATAGATGAAATATCTATATACTTCTCCTTATTTTCAACCGAAATTCTTGCAAATAATAAACTAGAAATCGCAAATGGCAAATAACAAGGCAAACTCGTTTATTTTGAAATGTTAGATGAGTTCCGCCCACTTGTGACGTCAGGGCTTAGGTAGTCTATTGGTCTGCACGTTTTGACGACTATTGATTTGGACCGGATTTTGAGCGCGCTTATAATATCCGTTACATAACCTCCTTGGCCAACAAAAACCATAGTCTATGCAAAAATTTAGAAACTTGAATATTTTTCTCATTATTGACACAGTGTTGACGATAGCGTCATCGAAATAATATTTCTTCGTCAAGTACTGATGATAACGTAGCTGATATGCAGCTACATATAGAGATTAATTGATTTTATAACGTCGTATGGAAAATTATGTGGAGAGAGTTGTCTCTTTATTCTGTATAGCACAACGTTTATCCAGGACTTTTTCCCCATGTTTACTTTTTCAAGTTTCGAGTGACAGTTAATGCACTATTGACAGCAGCGCTTAGACTGCTCCACTACTACTACTGTGAAGCGGCGTTCACAACCAAACTTTTTACGTTTTGCTTTTTACGTTTCGTATTCTGATTGGTGAAGCAAAATGTGTAATTGAAATGACGCAAAAAGCTGAAAATATTCAGCTTTTTGCGTTGCAAGAAGCCATCGTCTGTGAAAATAGTAAAAATAGACGGATAATATGAAAAATTTTGTAATAATATGGAAGTTATGATGTTTTCATGATTTTTTCGTGAATCCACAGAATAGTTAGATAGGTATACTGTTCAATTCATTATTTTCTTGTTGAAGATTGAATTTTCTCTTCAAGTATTGAATAAGGATCAATTTATCACCGCCAGTTCTATCAATTCGTTATTATTAATTATCTGATCAATATTATTGTTATGATTATTTAATTCATTTCAGTATGGAAAACAAATAACAAAACCAAGGCAACTGAGCCATAAAAAGTCACGATTTTGTTGTTGTTGTGAATGACATTTGCTCACGTTTAATTTCAGATTCTGCTTCACCAATCAGAATACGAAACGTAAAAAGCAAAACGTAAAAAGTTTGGTTGTGAACCCCGCTTGAGCACTTTGAGCGCGAGGAGTGACGAACTCTATGAAGCCCTATAATGACTCAAGGTGAATATTACAAGCCTTTAAAGTGTTAGATGGGACCAATCATAGCGCGCTAAAAGTGATTTGACTGCGATTCGGACCGCGGTGTTAACGCATATTAAACGTCAATAATGAATGTCATTCGTGGCCAAGTCGCTGAAAATTTGAATGGTACCTCTCATGCAATCACAGCTTAAATGTTCGAATTTTCATTAAAATTTGTAGAGATCACCTGAATAATTCGAGACTCGACGTGTCTTAAAAGATGGATTCTAATAATAATTATCACCGACGTCGCCAGCTATCGAGAAACTTCCTTTTGGTCATTTACTGATCATTGTCTCACACTGGGACTCAGGGTCTCATATATTGACACAGTCATCCAAGATCTAAGCCTGAGCAAGTGAGCACTCGATGAGCAGTCAACAGTAGTCATAGTCAGATAATTTACCGCCAAAACAGTGTTACACTTGATCTTGAGGTGTGAGAAGTGTATAGAGTATAAACAACAATCGCTGTTTTATAAATTATTCAATCATTTTGGTCGACATATCTAATCCTGAGATGGATTATTCAACTACCGATGAAACAGATTCCATTGATCATCGTCGATCATAAGAACTTGTAATTGATTCACCATCTGAATTCAAGAAATTACTTTTTAGCTTTCTCTTTTTTTTGAAAGTTCTTACCATGCAATCAGAATACACTACACTACACCAAAAGCAACAAACAAGATATTCCATTCCACATTCCACTCCACTGCACTCACTGCACTAGTCTACGCCGAAAAGTGTATTGTCAAGGCTATTCAACTCTATAAGCTATAACGTCTATACAGTCTAGATATTTAGCCGTCATTGATTGTAGAAACATGCAGTGTAAAATATAAATTCCATGCAGAAACAGCGAACAGACCTATTGCTTGTTTTGTTGCACATTGACACTTTTGTTGATAGGTTATGTGCATTATCCAAAATAAACATTTAAATAGTTTATTATTATGGATGATGTTAAACGCGAAAATAAAATAAAACGTTCAAAAAGTGAGGTGAAAAATGTACTCTCAGTGTACTTACAAAAAAGGAATTATTGTTCTCTACAAACATTTGAAAGTACTAAGACAAATCATATTACATATTCATCAGTTGAAAGAGCCTTTGGACGATCAAACTCTATTTTATACAGTTGTTACAATAGTGACCCTGT